GAAGCTTAAAATCTGGATTATAACTCTTTATTAATTTATTTGCTCATTCAGCTTGTTTATATACAGCTGCCATCGTTTTGATCGATTATCCGGTGGTATAAAACAAATCGGAACATCATCAGCCAAATTTCGTTCAAGTTTCGATCTATTTGTATTCTTTCGCTGCCCCAAGTTGTTCGGGGGCTCAGTGCACACTTCGACAGCACACTTGACGTTTACGAAATTGCGACAAGGGAACAACTGAAAAATGGTTTACAAAACCCACCTGATTCCGGCGTCGAGGATTTGAGAGACTACGATCTCAAGACGAAGATAGCGGGTATCGAGAAAAACAATACCCAAATCTGATTAGTTATACAACAAAATACTGAACAAAACATTCCTGTTGACACTGTGGGCGCCAAAAGCTGAATGAGGATTATCGCGAACTGTAAATAGTGAGCGGTAATCCGTTAAAGAATGTGGATATAGAGGATTTTTAGATTAAGGAATTACAAAACAAATCACGGTCGTGTTTATAATTTTAATTATTTATCTCGGATTTCGATCAAAAAATGCAACAGATTGACGTCAGGTTGGAACACGGCTTTATTACTTGTGTGGAAAAAAACGTGTTGTGATTTGAATTCGGTTTGATCTACAAACAGTATTGTATTGACCGTTGCTAGGCGGTTGCTAGGAAAACTGTGCGATTTTTTTACCGTACGTAATAGGAAAAGTGTCAAATGAATAAACAAAATGACACATATAATAGTTATTGTTATAACAACCATCCTTTTTATTTATCAGGTTGCTTTGATTAAAATATGAAATTATATTTTTTATAATGCTTGTAACTTCTAAACAAAAATGAATCGGACCTATGTTCATATAAGAAAAAATGTTTGAAATTAACCCAGCTACCATCTGTCAAAGTTTGTCATAGAGCTTGTAGAACACCCTGTATAGCTCTAAATCTAAATTATACAGTTGGTATTCTCCACCTTCTCTATAAAGTGGTAAACACTGGTTAAAATTAGTGGCAACTATCGGGCTTGGCCTCGTCAGCGACAAGTCGCAGTCGCCCCGAAGGGTCTGTTGGGATGCAATCCAACACAATGGGACAATTATCGCCGACCGCGGCCTACAAGTGCGTACAAACACCAGCTTTCCAAGCGACCGGCCTCAGACAGCTTGGCTCCGTGGCCGACAAATTGGATTTCTAGGAAGCCGATCGCACTGCGAAAACATCTGTTTGAGGACAGAGGAGAGGGCAGGTATTGCGGCTCAACTCAACAGTGCGTGTAGGTAGAAAATCTCTTCTTGTACGGTTGCACAAAACGCTCGTGGGATTCGGGTTGGGTCGACTTGCGGTCTGTTTATGTTTATGACCTGTCGAATCTGTGTATCTGGTGTAATTAATTCGCAAGTTATTACACACTGGATGATACGCAGCGTGTGTAAAAAAAATCCGAAGATAAATCATTAAAAACGTCGCAAGTTTACCTTGTAAAGAATTGTTAAACCTCTCGCTCTTTGGTTTTTATAGCAACAAAACAAAACGACACCGGTTTTCTATGCATATTTTTATTTTCAAATTTGGGATACGCTTTTTTTCTCAACTTTAACAGCTACCAGTTGGTTTTAAACCTTAGCGGTGTGTTCCAGGCATTTTGTTTTTTTTTCTTTGTTTGCTGCGACTTCGACGTGTATAACTTATCGCAGCCTTGTACTGATTTGCGAGTTGCCCGCTAAAAGCATATTGCGAGCGAGGTATTAAGGCAAAGCAATGACGGAAATGCACGGGAACATTCTCCGCGTAAAAATTGCGCCAATTTACGGCCTGGCAGCGGTAATAATGTAAGTGTAAAGGACGATAAATTATACGCCACTGCGCGGCGTCCCCTTGCAGGTTTAATCCGCACGAAAGCTCAGCGCTCCGCCGTCGTACGTACTCCATTTCGCGATTTTTTCGGCGGATAACGGCTTTTTAATAATAAACAAGCCGATTGGAATTAGCATTCATAAGACTCCACTTCGAAACTGTTCAAATTTGCCGCCACAAGTGGCGTCATCGATATATCTAAGATTCTATGAAGAGGAGTGTCTGCGACAGCAGCCCTTTTAGTTCCTCTTGACATTTTTGTTGAATGTACAGTGTGAAAAGTTATTCTTGATAAAAGGTTTTGCTTATCTTGGGAAGCCATAGGCAGTATGAAATTGTCCCTAATCAAAGTGCCTTAAATTTTTGTTTTCGTTAAAAACTGTATTTAACAAAAGTTGTTCGAGAATTCAAGAAATGCTTAAATACCAGGTTTAGTAAAAAAAAGAAGAATAATCTCATTTGTCTCGTTTTGTACAAGATAAGCAAGGATATAAGTAGGCGCTTATAGCAATAGAAGGTTCCAAACGTGCGCGCGGGTTGAAATATTATCGGAACACTATGCGAAATGAACAGCACATTACAATTTCCATAAAGAGAATACAGTAAATTATTTCATTAGATTAAGAAACAGTACAAATTGTGGTTTAGTAAAAAGGACAAATACTGACTGTCGTTTTAAAATGTCATTTTTTCGATATTAAAAACAACGACCACCCAACATTGCGTCTGTCTAAGTGTGCACGTATGTACAATCTGTAGTTTCCGCAGGTGTACAAAATTGTACCCGGTACAAAATCTAATAGGTGCGTGGACCAAGAGGAAGTGAAACCGTACCATTAAACCCGACGAATTCCTGTTATGTAAATCATTTATTTATAATGAAATTTTCAATATCTCGATTGTTTGGAAATCGGTACGTAGAAAGCGGCGTGTTGCATGTTGCAATGCAGTAAATCAAAACGAGCGTCGTTCTCTGCCACGAAAAATAGACGCGGGTACGAGTGAAACCTGCTCCAATGGTAGAACCCGTTTGTACCCGATATGAAAACTGTCAAAAAAGCGGCCATAAACTTTAGTAAAACCCACAGAAACTTTTGAGTACTTCGAGGGATTTTTATAGAGTGGTGTACAAAGTTTGAGTATGGATTGTAGCTTTGAAACTTCCATTCGACACCTGTATTTTAATGTTTAAACTGGAACAGAAAATACGAAAAGCTTCGAATATCTCGCAAACATAAGTAAACCCCAACATATAAAATTGAAAGAAAATTATACCTGTTCGTCAAAGTAGGCCTTAAATCCAACAAAAAAATTTAAAAATGCAATAATATACAGGCCGTTTCATTTGAAAAACTGAAGTCAAATAACGCCCTAGGAAAAATCGATACTTTGATTTTGTTGATGTACCCAGAGTTATAGAAGAATCCGTCTTAATTAGGGCACCCTGTATATTCATTTAGGGTCGCTAAGAGCTTAATACTGATGTAATCGGGCAAGGCCGCAAGGGGTAAAGGATCCCGTGACTGCCTCAAAACCGTTCTCGTTAGAGATTGTAATTTTATTGAAAATGATTAGTTTTATGGCATATTTTTACGACTGCCAATAAAAATTGATCTTTTACTTACTTACTGTCGAGTTGCCTACCTATTGTGAAAAAGTGTATTGAAAAAAATATGTACCAGTCGCTATAGAAAATTTAGATAAATTTTCCCAGAAAAGTTGTTCATTGAAAACATCCTCTTTTGAAGAAGCTGGTAATAAATACAAATTCAATAATACTTAAAGTAAACATTTGACACATATATGCTACATTTTAACATATAACCGTGTTTTTAATAAATATAAACAAATGTTCACATGGAAGTATCTCACCTCGGGTATCACAATATGTAGGTACCCACTATCAGTTGTAATATCTTTAGAATATAAAAAATTAACGATCACAACATCGAGGTGGCATATTTTGAATGATCTTAGTCCTTAGATATGTATTTTAATTTTGAACCAGAAAATAAAACATTGTTTTTGATCCCAGCGTAGTGCAAACATTAAATTCATTGGGAATTAAAAGTGCCACTTTACTACACTTTAAATCCACGTTTATTCTAAATGGAGTAAACTGGAACACAGCCGTGAGATTACCATTGCTAATATTGAGTAGTACTAATAAGTGCTCGTTTGTTTTTCACACAGGAATTCTAGGGGATTAAAAGTGATAATACTTTACACACGAAATCGAAGCATAAAACCACTTTAAATCCACGATGTGCACATTGGCTATAAAAATCCATCGTGGTTTAAAGTTGGAGTTAGAATATAAACTAAACTAACATTTTTACTACAGAGAGTAATTCGCGAATTAAAAGTGACAATTTACTTCCTACTGAAATAAAGGAATGAAACAGCACTTTAAATAGGCGATGCGTAAAAAAGTACATAAGTCATCGGGGTTAAAAGTGACATTAATCCTCTCAATATGTAAATTAGCATTTTTACTGCAGATAGTCCTTCTCGAATTAAACTTGACACTTTACTCCCTGAAATTAGAGAATAAAACGGCACTTTAAATAAACCATGTGTAAAGAATGTACATGGAGGCTCTCGGGATTGGAAAAAATACATACTAATCCTCTAAAACAATAAAAAAAGTGCAAAGATGTCTTTATGGGATTAAAAGTGATACTTTAGTCTCTGAAGTTATGGATTAAAACAGCACTTTAAATAGACGATGTGTAAAGAAAGTACATACATGTCATCGGGATTAAAAATAACATTTTTTAGCCTTAAAAAGTTTTTAACTCTAAAATTAGAAAATAAAACAGCACTTTAAATAGACGATGTGCAAAGAAAGTACAGATAAGTCCTCGGGATTAAAAGTGCGTGATAATCTTCAAAAATAATATATAAACTAGCATTTTTACTACAGGGAGGGTGAAAAGAACCTTCGATGATTAAAAATGACACTTTACTCTCAGGATCTAGGCACTTTTAATCCACGTGGTGCAAAAACGAAGTTCAATACGTCGAAAATTAAGCACTTTTAAGCCGTGTAAAGTGCAAAAGTGTAATGACGTAGTGGAACGCTTTATGCGAGAACGGACGGTATTGTGTTAACGCCGGGTCGATGGAGTCTCACCGTGACAGCACCGGCGACGATGAAGAACCCCAGGGGGAGGATCGCACTCAGCCACATCTCAACATCAACAAGGCATCACTGCACCACACGGTCTCGTCGCACTGTACGTACTCTCAGCACCAGCATGTCAGCGCTCTGACGACGGCCGCGGCGTCTGCACCGACACTGAACTGGCGAACGGCGACTGCGACGACTGGAACGGTCCGCGGTCTGCGTATCTCTGGGCTGGTGGTGGACAACGAACGCCGATCGGGCCGGTCGGTTTCCCCAATCCCAGCTAATTGTCTGCAGGTCGGAGGTTGATTGAGGCGGATAAAGGGAGGTCGGGTCGCTGTTCCGCCACCGGTTCGGTCCCGTTTTGCGCGCTTTTCGTATGAATTCCACACTCTTAGGAGTTCCCTGGTTTACCATAGCTTAAAACTCTCCAAAATGCATAAGATTCGAGGGTGCTGAACATGAGTCCGAAGTTATTTTTGTGCGGTCTAAACTAGTTTTTAAATTTTGGGTTTCTGTTGCCCTTCGTAAGCATTCGGAACGGGATCGTATTCTGCTTAAATTTACACTGTTCACGATTTAGGTGCTGTTTTGTTTACTTTTGCTTCGTTTAATATATCGAGCACTGATTGATTGCTGAAGTGGCTGAATAAGAAAAAAGGGTAGAAACATACAGTATTTTGTTTACAATGTTATAACTTTTTAATATTGTCTGTTTTAACTTTCCCAATTGCGTCTCTTTCTACTTTACGTAGAGACAGTACTAGTTTACCTAAACTAGGTCAGTGTCAGAGGTCACTGGCATTGAGATTTACTAATTAAGTACATACACTGCTTAAAAAAATTGTAACACATTCATGTTTTTGTTATGTTTGTTTTTTAAAGGGGCAAAAAGAATAATTTTAAAATATCTACGTACCAATATTAGTTAATATTTAATAAATGTATTTCTAATGTTCGGCTCTTCAACCACGATGAAATAAAAAAAGAACACGTCGCTAACCCTTACAAGAGCAATCTTTTTTACAAACTATTTTCCATTGTCGCCTTAAAAAGGTAACAACTGGCAACGTTGATAATGCACCGATACAACTAATCATGCTAATTTCGGGTAGCGGCGTAAACAAGAATGTTTGGTATAAAAAATTAATTATAACTCTAATATTCATTTGATTTAAAAAAAGATTTTAGATTCGTATTGAGGGGAACACGGATATAACCCCTAAAAAACTGATGACCACTTAAATTGACACCTTGTATATTACGCAAGAACTTGACCTATGTAGTATTTCATCACCCAAGTTAGGATAGGTCAGGTTAAGTTTTTTTTATAATATGCCACTAAGGATGACGATTAGACGACATTTAAAAAGTCGTCTATTCGTAAAGAGTGACCGGGGTGCCCAATTAAAATGAGATTAAGTTTTGTTTTGCCTCTAAGCCTCTTAATACGCCCGGTGTGGTAAAATTTTGACAGGTGAACATGGTAAATCAGTAAAAAACCTCACCGCTAAAATTTGCACTTTGTGTACGAGTGCCACAATCTGCGTATTAAAATTTTAACGGCTCTGTTTGCTTTAGTTACGGTTTGACAACGTAAGTAATTAGAAAAATATTTAAATGAGGTAGTATAAATATTATTCGAACCGTCTGGGCACTTACCGAGGCATGCTTTAGAAAAAATAAACGGCGTGACTAAGAGCAAATACCTATTAATTTCAACGGGTTCGTATAAATTATCAGCCGTAAGTTTTGCTGGTTTCCCACCTCGTTTTGAAAAATGTACAAACAATTTTCAGATACAAAGGGCAGTAGGTAGGTTGAACAGTACCAGTTATCCAAGCGCCTTATCGATTATTTATTGATATAATGTTTTAATTAGACACATGAAACGAACACGGCAGCAGGGTTGGGTTCAGGGTTCAGGGTTTCGGAAAATTTTAAAGTTCATCTAGTGGAATCCAAAGTGTAGATAACTAGTAAAGGGTGTCCCAAAATTTATGCAACGGCGTTAAATCGCATGATCTGGGCGGCCAATTCTGGTCACCAAAACGGTAAATTACACGACCAGGAAATGATCATGCTGTAGTTCAATTGTTTCTTTGGCTGTATGGCATGTGGCACGGTCTTGTTGAAACCACATGTCGTCTACTCCATATCTTGCGATGTAGGCACAAAAAACAGAATTATTAAGTTGGGATAGTGAGCATCATTAAGACTGTTATTGCCTGATCAGCCGCAATTTCGAAGAAAAATGGATGATTCCAGCCCAAAATCCGCACCAAACACTGACAAGTTGTGAATGCATTTGTTTCTCAACAATCACTCGTGGATTTTCTGAAGCCCAAATGCGACAATTTTGTCGATTAGCGAAGCTATCGAGATAAAAATTGCGTTGCCTTGGCTCTCAGCAACACTCTCACGAACTGCTTCGTTGTTTTGTTTCCCTCCACCCATTACAAATTAAAACATTTCTAATATGTACATCAATGGTAATTTTATTTACAAACTTATTTTGGACAATTTCGCAACCATTTTTTTATTTTCTGAAGGATCATCTGGCATATAAATTTGTAGCACCACTAAAGGCGTGTGGCTATTCGTTTTCAGATTATTTTGACAGCGTTATGCGTATACAGGGTGAATCATTTAACCGCAAATAGAACTCAGTAAATAATTCAGAATTGCCTTATAAAGCAAGTGTCTAAGTATCACCCCACTTTCTTATCATTCAACTGAGATTTTCGGTAAAACGATACTCTAAATCGATTTTTCAACAAGTATATCTTTTTTATGTAAAAGTGTCCACGGAATCTAAAAATGAATCCCAAATTAGGTCATCGGCATAGAAGTTGGGGTAAAAAAATCCCGCTTTACTACCCATTCCTACGCCACTGACCTACAAAAATTTGTAAATTTTACAGTAAGTTATGCACATAAATATATAAATGTTAACACCACACCAAATTCGAATCAATTCGTTATAAGCATAGCAAAGATTTCATAAATAATATGATTTAAAACACCGACCAATACGGCCCTTTACAGTGAAAACGGTGAGACTTAGACCCTTACTTTATAAGGCAATTCTGAATTATTTATTGAGTTCTATTTATGGTTAAAGTTTGATTCACTCGAACTGAAACACCCTGTATATACAGGGTAGGCCATTAGTGTGAGAAAATAAAATAACCCTTGTTATTCATAATACAGAAAAAAGTATATATAAATTGTACAGAATCAAGAAACCTAAACAAAATATTACATTTTTTAAATGGAACACCCTGTATATTTTTAAACATATAGAATTCTGTATATGGCAATATAAACAGTTTAACATTTTATTGCGGGGTTGTCAAGTTATGTAGAAAATTCTTCAAATTTTGGAGAAAACATGACCTCAAAGAAATTGTATTAGCTTTCAACTACTAACCCTTAGAGCAAAAATATTGGAAAGTTATAGGCAAATGTTAGACAAAGGCTCATATATTAGCTAATATCGATATTTTATACAGATCATTCTTTATAATACGACCATTTTTAGAAAGTTAAAACTTGATTTTCAAAAATTTTTCAAATGGAACACCCTGTATTTTATTGTTCTATTTTATTCCCATCTCGGTCCACTTAAACTTTTATTAAGCACGTTCTATACCTAAAACTGTTGGTTTTTAAGACATTTCTGAAAAAATTTAATTTTTTATTAAGTATGTATTTTCGGTCGCACAAGCTGGCTTTGGAAAAACTGTCACATTGTGTCAACTTGTCAGTTCACAATTTATCGTTCCATTTTGAGTTCATTTTATTAGTTAATGTTTATTTGTTGGTATTCTATATATTTAAGTTTTACTCGAAAATCGGGCTTTTTTCGAAAAACATAAGAGAGTAGTAATTTGTAGAAAATTGAAAGACGAACCCGAAAATATCATGATTGTTACCGTAAAGCGGTGGCGTACTATTTTATTTAGAAAAATATGCCACCGATAACCCTGTATCTCCCCCATTGGAGCATCTAAATTTTAAAAAAGGCCTCAGATTTTGGAAAATGTTTACATAAATGTGCCAATTTCAAATTAAAAATATATTTTTAAATTTAACACTGTATATTTCTAACGAAGCGTTAAAATACACCAAAGAATACACAGTTTCATGTTTGGTGACCATTTGTGAATCACCCTGTAATTACGTTTTGTAAAACTCCAAGTTTTTTTTTATTTAATAATTGTTGATATCTATATATCTGTTATGATGTGATGATGATATCTGAGAAATAGACCATATATTGTTTCTGTGTACGAAAAATGTTAATTATCCACTTAACACTGTTGGCGTTTATTAATTTTAAACATTGTCTGAAAATCGACCCCCCTGCAATCGAACCGTGGAAATAATTGCCTCGAAAAACCAAACAATCCGAGCGCCAGGAGACAAAGGCTATCAAAATGCCACCATAAACGGCTCTTTAATAAGCTATAAATTGGTAATGTTTACAAACTGCTATCGAATAATTGTTAAATTGTGACGGAAAGGTTTGCAAAAGTCACTTGCGCGTTGTGGACGAGGTATCTACGCAAAAAACGTGACTTGGAGTGGCAACTGTTTATGTATTTGCGAAAATGTTTATTATCGTAAGACTTTTTTTCTCTATAGCGTTCGACTGTTTCGTCAATTAATTGAAATTGGTACATACAATTGTAGATCTAGTGGTGATTTGTTTCTTATAATTATTACAGCGGCAACGTGTTTCATTTTTTCTAAAATTAAATTGTACGTTCGTGACAGGAATGATCTAATTTTCTATATTCAAATTGTAAACACTAAGTGTTTCTTTTTATCTTTGTAGATAATTTCATGAACGTAATAATAAGCATAATATTTTGTTTGGTCTACATATTAATCTAAGTAAACAGTGTAAGTGCGGCGCATTGAAAGTTAAGTTTATTTATACGGCTCGAAATCAAATTCGAATTAATAAACGATAAGTAATGGAAAATATCCTCGAAATATAATAACAGAAAAAATATTTAGTCTATTGAAACTCACATTTAGTGCGAAATTATACGTTTTCGAATTTTTAACTAATAGGAAAGCCCCAGTTACTGTGGTCATAAACTTATAAACAATAATAATTCCTTCACTATGTCTAAGTACCGATAAACTGTGTGCATGTTGTTTTTCAATTTCTTCAGTAAGATGAGATTTTCATTCATTTCT